GAAACCCTTGGACGCCCAGATCTTGGTTTGTCTTCCAAGCTGTTGGTTCGTCTGTATTTCTGCAGAGTGTATCCAACTGCTGAAGGACTGCATCTGCACTTCCTGGCTATCTGGCGGCAGCTGTACCCTTCCTGGCTGAGAATCTTTATCTTCAGGCGTGTTTCCTGCGTTAGGTTCCTTGTTTTAGCCATTTTTGTGTCTGAAGAACTTTCAAATGTGCTGGCTTTATGTAGACACGAAGCTTGGCAACAAAAATTGTGTCTTTTAATAAAAAGAACGATCTTCATCACTGGTACCAAAATGACCCAATACTCAAAATTTCTTATGTATTTTTATGGAACCAATCAATTTTAAGTTTTTAATGGCTTTTTTTTAGGATTTATTTAGTATTTTGGCTGTGACTGTACTAAAAGAAATTGCACTTGAAGACCTAAGAGTGATTCTTAATGCAATATTTCACAAATGCATGGGGTGTCCGAAAACTTTTTTCCACCACTGTATATGTAATTAAGTACTCAGAGGTGGGTAGAGTAGCCAAATATTGTACTCAAGTAAGAGTATTGTGGCTTTAAAACAATATAACTCAAGTAAAAGTAAAAAGTATTTTGCATTAAAACTACTCTGAAAAGTACAATTTATCCAAAAAGTTACTCAAGTAAATGTAACTGAGTAAATGTAAGTAGTTACTACCCAACTCTGCACAAAGGAGTTTTTAAACCTATTCAGTTTGTATTTGGGGACTCTGTATCGTCTTCCAGACGGTAAAAGTTCATACTCAGGATAAAGGATGTGTGATGGGTCAGATAAAGCCCACATAAAAAGTACAGTCTTTGCTGTAATGGAGAACACAGGTTGTCAATGTGGGTCTTCCAGCTGAATTTGATATCTAGGAGGACACCTAGGTATTTGTAGGAGCTGACCTGACAGATGTTTTTGTCATGGATGGGGACAGGTGTGTGATCCCCCACAGAGCCAGGGTCAAACACCATCTCCTGTGTTTTCCTCACATTCATTTGTAGATGGTCGCAGTGGCGTATCCAGGACATTTTTACTGGGGTGGCCAAGATGGGACACAAAGCTAGTGTGGGGTGGCCATGGCATATAATATAATGACATAAAGTAGAATGCCACGTACGCAGCCAACCCTGGTTCGAATCCTGGCCGGAGGACCTTTGCTGCATGTCACATCCCCTCTCTCTCCCGTGATTTCCTGTCTTCCTACTGTTAAATAAAGGTGTCTATGCAGGTAAAAAAATATTTGAAAAAAGAGTCTTTTTTTTATTCCATTTCCACCTATCACAGTCCTCAGGAATCTCTGGTTATTTTAACATGTCGATTTTTAATCAGTAATTATGTTCAGGATAGGGTACACATTTTCTAAGAGCCATTTCCTTATAGTGGATTAAAGTCCTCATCTCTTCACAAGGTAGATTACTCATCCTATAGAATAACATTAATCAGTCATCAGCTCATCATCTGTGTCACCTGTATTGTTAGCTGTGTTTGCTCTACTAATTGAGGCGCCATCTTGTGGTTACATAAAAACACAGCAATCCAGGCAACAGAACAAACCAAAAAATTCAAATCAAAGCTTAATACTTAAAGATAGGCCTTATTAAAAGTTTATCTGTAAGCAAAAGATAAAATAAGCTTGTAGCCTAGGAAAAAAAGGAATATTTGTTGTTCTTTACAGATATAATTAGATATAGATATAATTTGTTGGAGATACTGGAATTTGATTTTTTTGGTTTGTTCTTTGCCAGGTGTGTTTTTATTTAACCACAAGATGGGGCCTAAATTAGTAAAGCAAACATAGGTAACAATACAGGTGACACAGCTGAAGGCCTGATGACTGAATAATGTCATTATATGATGCCTTATGATGTACGGTCTGCCCATTTTTCCGACAGCCCATTGTTCAGACCATATTAAACCCATTGTTCCGAAGTCCTGTTGTTCCGAAATCATCATGATGCCCTGTGGTTAAGGTCTGGTTAGGTTTAGGCACAAAAACCACTTGGTTAGGGTCAGGAAAAGATCATGGTGTGGGTTAAAATGAAAAAGAAAGTGGCAAACACATAAGCTGTGAGCCTGCTCCGCCTCAAGCCTTTCCCAGCTGACCCAGAGCCGGTCGCGGCGCACCATCAAGACAGAAATACGCCCGCCAGGAGCCGTTCAGCACCGCGGAAAGCTTCCCACACAACCCGGACCCCAGAGTGAATAACAGGAGGTTATGATGTTTCATTCTCTCCTCTCTATGACACTTGTATCTCGACCAGTAGCCTACTTTTGTTGCGTTGCTGATCCTCTATGGTACACAAATACAGTACTAATCACATATCGGAACAACGGGACGTCGGACTAATGAGAGGTCGGAACAATGAGAGGTCGAAACAATGCTACGGCACCGTATGAAAATGTGCAAAAAGTGGTTTTCAACCCAGACAGTATTCATGTCCAGGGCCCTGATGAAGGCATAAATTGAAACGTTGGCTTTGGTTCAGCGTGCCGTTTTTCTCCAGCAGTTCTGCAGCTGACATTGTCACTGTGACCGTCCTCCTGTTTCATTAGCAGCAGCAGCAGCAGCAGCAGATGCGGCGTGCTCATCTCATGGCTGATGGCTCACCTGCATGGCCATTGGCCAAACGTCCGCTGAGCAGAAATCAGCTCTCACAGCCTCAGTACGACCATTACTGTGTTAGTTAAAAATGTAAAACTGGCCCTAAATCAGCTGATTACCTGTCATCATTGATTGGCAGCATTTCTCTTGTTTCTTTTGTCGACGGACTTGACCAACTACCTATCAGATCTGGGGTGGCCATTGAGTTTTCAGTGGTGGCCCCGGCCATCCCAGGCCACCCCTCAAAATCGCCATTGGATGGTCGGCATCACACCACTGAGCAAAGGTCTGACCCTCAGTGAAGGACGATGAGATTAAAGTATTTTTATTTTCCATTTTGTGATCAGACATACATATCCCCATTCAAACAAACACACACAAAAAAGCAGCAGAAAACAAAATAAATAAATAAATAAAATTTAAAAATAAAAAATAAGAAATAAATAAATAAAAATACAGCACAGACCTCCTAGTAACCTATAATCATACTGTATACAGTTAAATCAAAATAACCAGCCTAGTTTCTTCATAATTCTTGGTGTATAAATGCAAAAGATAAAGTTTCCATACTTGCTGAAACTTCCCTTCAGTGTTGTTCATTTTAGCAATCAGATGTTGAAAAGATGCAGTCTCAGTCATAAGTTTAGTCCATTCCAATATTCTTGGCCTACTTGGGTTCTTTCAATTGCACAAGATTAATCTTGCTGCCATGAGGGAGCCTGCCAGTATCAGTTCGAACTGTGCTTTAGTGACACCTTGTGGTGCTAGCTCTCTACTCACAAGAAGGTAAAGCTCAGGAGATTCTGGCAAATGCTTCCCTACAATTTCTCCAAGCTTCTTCAGTACCTCTTTCCAAAAAGGGAGAACAGAGGGACATTCCCACATGGCATGCAAGAACATACCCTCTGCCCTCTGACATTTCCAGCATTTTCGATCTTTTGATAGTCTCATTCTGTGGAGTTTAAGAGGAGTATAATAGTATCGATGCACAATTTTGTAATGGATAAATTTGCTTCTAACATCCCTTGCAGCCCTACCAACTTTGGATATTATATCCTGCCATACCTTCTCTCCAGTATCCCTTCCCAGGTCCCTTTGCCAGATCAGCCTAAGGTTCTCACAGCTCACACTCTGAATGTCAATGATATGTTGAGAGAATATTGAAGCACTGTGCATTGTTTTAGGTGACTTAAACACTTATGGTGCATATGATCTTTATTTGCCAATTATCCCAAAAAACTGGTTGTTTCCCTATGTGGACTTGTGGGTTATTCCACACAGAAGAATAGGTCTGTTTATATTGAGATCTACCAAGTATTCTATGTCTTTTAGCCCATACCCAATTGGAATGAGTCAAGATGGGGTTTTGGTTCCCACCTGTCTGCCTTGTATAGGTGTAAATGGGGCCATTAGTGATTGCTCAATTTGTGCCCACCCAACCTCTGAATCACACCCTACCCAGTGCCTAGCTAATTTGGCCAACTCAAAAGTCACTTTATATGTCTCCACATTTGGCAGAGCTAATCCCCCCCTCTCCCTGAGGGAGTACATTTTCCTGTAGAAACCAGGAGCAAGATATTGTCTGCGTACAAAAACAATTTGTTTTCACAACTACTGCCCCATACACCTTTAATACCTGTTTCCGCTCTTATTACTGCTGCCAGTGGCTCTAAAAACAAAATGAAGAGCAGTGGGCTCAGGGGGTGTCCTTGTTTCGAGCCCCTTGTTAAATTAAAGAAGGGAGACATTAGGCCATTAGTTAAAACAGAGGCTTTTGGGGTTGAATAAATCACATTCAACCATTTTATGAATCCATCACCAAAACCAAAACCTTTCAGTGCATGCACCATGAAGCCCCACTCTATCCTATCAAACGCCTTCTCCGCATCAAGGGAGAAGGCAGCTACAGGTGTTTCGTTTTCACAACTAGACCAAAAAAGGTGCAACAGGCGTCTAATATTGTTGGATGATGATTGCCTCCTAACAAAGCCAACCTGGTCTATATGTATCATATGTGCTATCACCTTTTCCAGCCTTGTTGCCAGGACTTTTGTAAGTATCTTACTATCAACATTTATCAAACTTATTGGACGGAAGCTACCTGGATCTGTGGGGTCTTTATTTTTTTTAATAATTAATGAAATTAAAGCCTCATTAAAAATGTCTGGCAATTTTCCTGATAAAAATGCTTCTGTGTATACATCAGTCAGTATGGGTGCTAGTATATTAATACATTTTTTATAATATTCTACAGGAAACTCATCCAATCCTGGTGATTTCCCTACTTTTAATGCCAATATTGCAGCCCTAACTTCCTGTTCTGTAATTGCTTCATCTAATTGTTTTTCCTGACCTTCAGACAATTTAGGGAAATTAGTCTTTGAAAAAAACTTATCGATTTTGACTGGTGATGGATTCATTTCTGATGAGTAAAGCCCAACATAGAAATCATGGAATACTTTGTTTATTTCTTTAGTAGCGGTTACTATCTTGCCGTTTTTATTTTGTGTCGCTGGTATTACAGCATTAGCTTCTTTTTGCTGTAATTGTCTAGCCAGCAGTTTACCAGCTTTTTCCCTGTAAAAATTACTATTCAGCCTAAACAATGCATATTCAACTTTTTTGTTATATAAATCATTTAATTGAAATTTCAGTTCACAAACCTCCTTCAGGAGAGTTTCAGTGTGATTTTCCACCAATTCCTTTTTCTTTTCTTTAAGGTGGGCTTCCAATTTCAAAAGTTTCTCCCTATGTTCCCTTTTCTTTTTGCTGGAGTATGCTATTATTTTCCCTCTAGTATAGGCTTTAGAGGCCTCCCACACTGCACCCACCTTCTCTACCAACCCAATATTTATTTAAAAAAAAACAAACTCTTAAGATCATCCTCTATTGAATTGGCACATATTTGATCCTGTAATAGGGATACATTTAATCTCCACCTGCTCTTTCTTCACTTCATCTGTCCCAATCGTGATACATAGATGCACAGCTGCATGGTCTGATATAGCAATAGGACCAATTGTACATTCAATTACACAATCAGTAAGAGCTGTAGATATAAAAAAATAATTGATTCTTGAATATGACTTGTGATTATGTGAGTAAAAAGTAAATTCCTTTCCCCTAGGATTAGCCAGCCTCCAGATATCGACAAGGCCCAAATCTTTCATCATCAAATGTATGGCTTTCCTGTCTCTAGGCACATGAGAAGAGTGTGTAGTTTTATCCAAAATCCCATCTTGTACCTGATTGTAATCACCCACAGTTACATAAAGGCCTCCTTCTATTTCCCTCAGCATTTTATTTACCCTGTGGTAAAACTCTGGTTCTTCCTTATTAGGAGCGTAAATATTACACAGATTGAGCTTAACCCCATTTATCTTAGCCTCTACACATATTATTCTACCTTCATCATCTTTATGTTGTTTTAGCAAAACAAAATTCAATTTGAAGTACGATGAGAGACCTGTGTCCTCGTACAGCAGACGGAGAATGGCAGTATCATCTGAGAAGTTCAAAATTAAATTGCTAGGGAAGCTACTGCAGCATTCACTTGTGTAAAGTGTAAATAAAACAGGGGAACTCACACAAGCTTGAGGAGCTCCCATACTTATAGATTTAGTGTCAGAGAGGGTATTGTTTACTCTGACAAACAGTCACTGTTTTTGACTGTTGCTTAGTGCTCTTAAAAACCCTTTTGTATGTAGGGATCACATGGACTGCATTGTGGTCTGAATTTGATAGAGGAGGCTTAGATCTTGCGCTGGATGCATTTTTAATGTTCTCGTAACGTTTATCTAAAACTTTATTATCACGGGTATTACACTTAACGTATTGCTGGAAGCCTGGAAGGGACATTTCTAACTTACAGTGGTTAAAGTGGTTGTTGAACAGCGTCTGCTATGTGGCTCGCAGCTCTGGCCGCACCACCACTTGGGGGTACGTATACAACACAAATGATGATATTTCCAAACTCCCTGGGAAGGTAAGGGGGTCTAAGAGAGAGGCACAGCAGCTCACACACTCATCACATCTTTATTATTTTCACCTACATTGAGCAGTGATTTCAGGTTTTGATATTATTATTTCTTCTCTCCTTCTTGTACTTCTCATTTCACCAAATTCCCTTTGAATTCTGTCAACCCTTTAAAACCTGGAGTGAAAGAAGAAACAGGAAAATGAGCAATGAGCAACTTGGTGAAAAATGTCCCACATATTGCAATTTGTTTTTAAATAAATAAACATGGAAAATTATTTTTAAAGAATTAAAAAAA